ATGAAAGCAATTTGATGTTAAAAATAAAGAAGATTTTGAAAGAAGATGAGAAGGTTTTGAAAATTAAAGAAGATGGGAGGAGATGAAGGGACTATCCTAAAGCATAAGGTAAAAGCTAAGGGAGAGAACCGTCTAACCAACATGAATCCTATACTTGACATTATGAGCCAATGTAGAATTCCCATTCTTTGGAGTGAAACCAAGCAAGCAAAGACACTAGACCTCTTGAGAGAACCAAACTTCAAGTGTTTTTAAGTCTTCGCAAAAATTGGGCAGAGTAACGGTTGTATACGAGTGAATTCCAGATTATAAACAAAGATCGTAATCTCAATAACCTGCACACAAAATAAACAAACAACCCAATGTCTTGAGGTAAACCTCAAGAACTCCAGACAAAATATCAAATAAAGTCACAAAGTCTCCAATATAGGCCAAGGTCTCTAATCCTAAGTCCAAGAAGTCCATCACTCCATAATGCAAAGGATAGTAACCATGTAGTCCAAGTATCATTAAAGTTTTTTATGGTTCATGTTGATTATTAGGTGTCTTAAAAAAAGAAAGAAAAGCTCAAGTGAGCAAAATAAAAATGACATAAAAGTAAATGCTCAAGTGAGCAAAGATGAAAATAGCATGAAATGTAAAATGCTAAAAGTAAATGGCACATAAAGCATGAAAATAAAAGCGTAAAGTAAAGTTAATTGTTATTAATTAGTGGTTAGTTGGATGACCATCTTGAAACTTGCATTTGGAACTCATTAGAGGATTGGTAGAACCAAAGCCTCCACACAACAAGTTGCATTTGCTTTTTGTCAAGTATATCATCCATTTTGGAATTCTCACAAGGCAACATGTAATGATCAATGATGTTTAAGTGATCCGTGTTGACCAAAGGTGTTGTAGATCCATTAGAGGATTGGTAGAACCAAAGCCTCCACACAATGAATCTCAAGGTTATTGGATCAAAGAGATCAAATTAACATACTTGGGCTTGCAATCATAAGTTTGTGCCACGAATGATCATTTATTCGAATCAGGACAAAATTTAGCATTATGTTAAGCAATCGTAAGTGGACTTATGTAGAAGTCGCACCTATTTTGAGGCCGGTCAATAGCAATCTATGTACTTCATGTTTGGATAAATGATATTGAGATCACCATCCCTTAACATGTAGCACAATTAAAAAAGAAAGGGATAAGATGAAGAGGGAGGGAAATGATAAGCTAATTTGGATCACCATTTCAAAATTCTTTCATCTTTAAATTCAACCACTCCTCTAGATGGATTAAAGCACTAAACATATCATTAATCCAAAGCACCAAAAATGAATTAAATAATTCACTCTTAGGTAGATTTGAATTGATGAACATTTATCCAACTTCATCTACATCACAAAGTCCATTGAGTTTAAAGACAAATTGGACATTTAAAATTGCAATCCAAACCAACAATCAAAAGGAATGAGTAGAAAAAGCATTTTGGATCAAAGCTGCCCCAAAACAAGGCAAAAAACATATTTTGTTCTGGTGTAAATCGATTTACACTACTATGTAAATCGATTTACACAGTATAATTTTCAAAAAATTGTGCAAAATTGTGCAGTGTAAATCGATTTACACAGCAGTGTAAATCGATTGCACGCAGAAGCAGTAGCAAAAACAGCATTTTAAAAGGGCAATTTCTTGTTCAAACTTTTCATCAAACACCTTATGATCATGGATCCACTTGAGCACGAAAATTCCATCAAATTATGAGAAAATAACACCATTGAAATCACAAGATAATGCTCAAAGAATCAATCCCAAAGATCACCAAGAGATCACATTTTGAAAGATGAATTATCCAAACTTACCAAAGGTAGATCTAGAAAATTATCAAACAACTTCAAGAATTTGCTTCAATTCAACCACAAGAATCAATTGACCAAGCTTGGATGTAGAGAATTGATGGAGAAAAAGTGTTTGGATGAAGGTTTAGCTCAAATATTAGTAAGCTTCAATGCAAAGCTTACTAACTTTTTGAAAATGGAGCTTTGAGTGGATTTGGTAGATGGAGAGAATTGAGAGATTTTTTAGCAAGGTGGATTTGGCTATCAAAAGCTTGAAATTTGAATGAAATGAGGGCTCTATTTATAGAGTTTTAGGATTGGGATTAGTGGTAATTTGGTAATTGATTCTTGGAGCCAAAATTTGAATTAATGAATTCTTTCAAATATTACAGCCAAAATTTGAATTAATGATAATTCTTTCAAATATTAGAGCCAAAATTTGAATTAATGATAATTCTTTTAAAAAATGAAAGATTGGCACTAAAATTTGAATTAGTTATACATCTTTCAAAAATGAAGGAAAATTGGAGCCAAAATTTGACAATTTTAAAATGCTGATTTTTTTTAATTTTCACTCTATGTAATCGATTGCACTACAGTGCAAATCGATTGCACAGTGTATTTTTTTTTTCAAAAATGGCGCAAAATACACTATGTGCAATCGATTGCACTCTAGGAGCAATCGATTGTACAGTGAGAAAAAAATGAAAATTTTTTAATTCTTTTTCTTTGCAAATAGAGATTTTAGGGAAATAATACCGGAAAACCTTATTTGCCATATGCTTCGACTCGGTACCTGCAAAACACAAATATGCAAAGACAAAGACAAATATTTTTTGGCATTTTGAGTAGAAGTTAGTCAATAACACAAGAGAAAACTTAAAGATAGGATGCAAATGTGATGAATGAAGCTATTTATTAATGATTGTGACTGAATGATAAAATATGGTATGAAAGTGCGACTGAAAAAAGTTAGGGGCAAAATTTAGGATACAACAGTTGCCCCTATTTAATCATCTTTTAGCCAGATAGGCAGAAAGTAATTAAATACAAACAGACCTGAATTTTGTCCCTGATGCGATGAGATGATAGCATATGTAATGAATGAATGCATGGACTCTTTTTTGACATATATTTTTTGAATGATGTATGAGATAAGACAGACACTGGGAACATGGAAAGACTCGAAACTGGAAATTTGTGGTAGTTTAGATGAAATGACGTGGAAAGACATATCGGGGAACAACAAGATACTTCTGGATATCTGTCAGGGAGACAAAGAGTAACCATCAATACTTGGAAAAAAGAGATAAAACTCGAGAAGGCAAGCAGCGACATCCAAGAATGGCATTGAATGAGGCGAGCAACTCTCTGGAAAAGGCAATCAGAAGAATCTAGAAGAACATTAGATGTGGGATGAGACCAAATCTGAAGCTACATCAGAGTCGTTCAGGAAAGACGCTGGACGGAAAAGAAACACGACATCAAATACTAGCTTTGAATGAAGGGAAAACTCAATGTCTAATACTGGCTTTAGACGAGAGAAAAGATCACAACATCCAATACTGGCTTTGAATGAGTGAAAGGGTTCTTGACATTCAATACTGGCTTTGAATGAAGAAAAGTTCAACGTCTAATACTGGCTTTAGACGAGAGAAAAGATCACAACATCCAATACTGGCTTTGAATGAGTGAAAGGGATCTTGACATTCAATACTAGCTTTGAATGAAGGGAAAACTCAACGTCTAATACTGGCTTTAGACGAGAGAAAAGATCACAACATCCAATACTGGCTTTGGATGGAAATAAAAGATCCTGACATTCAATACTGGCTTTGAATGAAAGAAAAGCTCAACGTCTAATACTGGCTTTAGACGAGAGAAAAGATCACAACATCCAATACTGGCTTTGAATGAGTGAAAGAGATCTTGACATTCAATACTGGCTTTAGACGAGAGAAAAGATCACAACATCCAATACTGGATTTGGATGGAAACAAAAGATCCTGACATTCAATACTGGCTTTGAATGAAAGAAAAGCTCAACGTCTAATACTGGCTTTAGACGAGAGAAAAGATCACAACATCCAATACTGGCTTTGAATGAGTGAAAGAGATATTGACATCCAATACTGGCTTTGAATGAAGGGAAAACTCAACGTCTAATACTGACTTTAGACGAGAGAAAAGATCACAACATCCAATACTTGCTTTAGATGAGTGAAAGAGATCTTGACATTCAATACTGGCTTTGAATGAAAGAAAAGGGTTCTTGACATTCAATATTGGATTTGAATGAAGAAAAAGGTAACAACATCCAATACTGGCTTTGGATGGAAGAAGAGATCTTGACATTCAATACTGACTTTGAATGAAGAAAAAAGGTAACAACATCCAATACTGGCTTTAGATGGAAAAAAGATAGCCGAACTGACATCTACTTTGGTAGGTGCCAAGTAAGTTAGACTTTGATCTCAAGGTGACATGTCAACTGCAATAAGACCTTGGAAAATGAAAATGAGGATGAAACACTCTTGTTATGCATTATGTATGAATTTTGTTATGCATGATATGTGAATGGTCTATGCAGGTAATGCCGACGTTTACAACAATGGAGTTTGACTCTTTTGTGAAGGTAAGATTGGAAGTTTGATTCCTCAACACGGAGAACTCTGCCAAATTTGATTGGAAAGAAAATGTTGAACCCAAATTTGTCACACTTGTAAACTGTATTGAACTGATTATCTTCTGAGGAAGGACATGCAGAGCTTCTTGGGGATTTGTCCCAGATTAGCTGACTGTTGAAGATAAACTGTATTTTCTCTTTTAACTTCGAGTCTCTTAGAGAAAAATGAACATTCAAGTTCATCGCAAAATGTTATGGCTGAACTTTTATCTCAATAGGAAGTGAAAAAATTTCCTTGTCTTTTTTGTAACAAGAAATTTTCAAATTTACAAGCTCTTGGAGGACATCAAAATGCTCATAAGAGTGAACGTAACTTAAAAAATATGGAGCAAAAGAAAAGAGAGGAAGAAATGGATTCCATTATAAGGTATAAACTTAATTTTTCATACCCTTATCCTTATCCTTATTCAAGCCCTAGTCACTATCAAAGATATCCTTATTTCCGTGACAACTTACAACACACAGTTCACTCTCAAATGAATAATATCATGCCTTCTCTGCTTGGTTCTCCATCTGGTGGTTATGGAGGGATGCATATGCCAAATACACCCTCCTCATTGCCTCCATTTTTTATGCAAGTTTCAAAGCCACAACTCACACGAATGACTAATTTTTTGGGTGGAAATCAAGCTTCTGCACTTTCAATTCCTCTAAGATCAAATAGTGTGGAATTGAGACTCTCTAGTCAAGTTAATCAAACTCCTTCATCTAGTAAGGATGCAGAAAGAAACTCAGATGTTAAATTTCTTTCTCATGATCTTCCAATAAAAACTCATGATTTTATTGGAGGAAACCAACTTTTAACTGATGCAAATGTGTCTTCATCGTCCACAACTGAATCAACATTAGAGGAACTTGACTTGAATCTCAAACTTTAAAATTTTCTATCCGACTAATAAAAATACAGTAGACATGTACTGTGAGATCACGTTTTCATTATCACTTTATCGTTTGATTTATGTTTTGTTGCTTTGGTTTATTTTCTTATGCATCTTAATGTACTTTGTTTCATCAATGAATAAAATCTAAGTTTTCTTTATTAATATTAATAGTTTTAATTATTAAGTAGATCAATTATTATGAATATTAATAGTTTTAATTTTATATTTAATCTTTCAATCATATAATTTAATAAATATTTTTAATTTATCGTTTTCTCAATTAATATTAATGTTAATTTAAATACATCAATAATTAATTAGAATAATTTGATAAATTTATTATTTTCTTTCTGATCGTACCTGATCAGAGTTGGACCGTCACAACTGACTTTGAGTTGAATTTGAAGTAGATGGGAGTACCTGCAAGACACTCTGATGGTAAAGTGAGAGACAGAATGAGCAAGCAAGTAAGTATATAGGTGTAAATGAATGAATACCTGACCCTCTCGAAATAGAGGGTATTTATAGCCATCAGCGCTAGGCCAAGGTCTCTTTATTGGGCTGATCAAACAAGTCTAACAAAGGGACTGTCAGGTTCTACGTAAGTAATGGGGGCCTGCACGTGGTCCCCTACCTGGATGATGCTCTCCGCAGAATGAGGAGGGTGGAGACGCGATCTTCCCGTGACCCTGAGGACTCCGCAGAATCCGGAGAGGTCGAAAGTCTGCCCTACGAGGAGAGTACTCGGGCAAAGCTTGAATTGGAATGATCCTCGTCGGGGACGTCCCTCATCGGAGACGTTCCTCGCGGACATCGGCGGGACGTAATCGCAGCCGACCAGTTACCCATGATCGAGTTGTGCTCAGAGGATCTACTGTTCAGCATGATATGTTTGACAAGCTTAGATTGAACTTCACTAGTGATTGGGCCACGGACAGGCTCAATCCAGAACACTTTCATTTTTTATTATTTCTTAATTTATGTAAAATAATTAATTGCATTAAATAATATGAAAATGAGGAAATAGTGTATATTCTAAAATTATATATTAAAAATTTCATAAATAATGTGTATACTTTGATCAAGTCAAGTTGAGTTTTTAGTTATCAAAAGCTCGAATCTACGACTTCAAACTTCCAAAATTAAAAAATTGTCACTGTTTTACGTTATAATTGATATAACAATTATTATTTATTCACAAATATTATAATACATTTATCTATCTTCTAAAATAAATAGGAGTATTATTTTAAGATGTTTGGCCACCCATGTCCCTACTTAACTCCACGTTGGTTATAGGCTAATTTATTTTTTTGTGGTTTTTGAATTCTCTTTCTTACTTCTTGTATTAGGTAGAGTATTCAATATCTTCTTTTGCTTATAAATATAGGAAAATATTTACATGTGTTTTAAAAACATAAATTAATAAATTATTTATAAAAATATTTTTTTGAAATATGTGAATTCATTATTTTGAAATTTTAAATATAATTTAATATATTTAATTATATTTTTTTTTTTTAATAATAATATCTTTAACATATACCTCCATCCATATATTCATAATAAACTATTTTTAATATCTATTATCAAATAATATATTAATGTTTTGGTGTAACTTTATATATTTGTAAAAAGAAATATATAAGATAGATTTGTAAAATGAAAAAAAGAGAAAAGTTGTATAACCCAATGTTAAAAAGAATAATATTGTAATTGAGAAAATATGACGAAACGTAAGGAATCTTTTTATACTTTATTAAAATTAAAAAGCTAAGAAATCTATGTCGAATAATAACAAAAAAAAAGGTCCATATTTTCAACCGAAAGATCGATATTTTAAAAGTGTTGGCATGCATTAAGTAATTATAAAAGAAAAGGATTTGAGACTGTGATAATATCACAACAGAGATGCTAAAAGTTTGCAATTTTTGATATTCTAATTCTAAAGCAAGAGGACACTTAAGGCCCTTAAAGTATCTATTTCTATATTCTTCGTATTTCAAAGTTTCCCTTAAGCATAGGTAATATATACCTTAAGGTATTTTTTTTTTTTGTCATTAAAGGAAATTCTTTTTTAACATATATATGATTTCAGTCAAATATAAAAAGTCAAAAAATAAGGTAAATTGCATTTATAAAATTAAATTAATATATTGTTTTAATCAAACATTAAATTATATTGATAAATAACAATAAATTAATATTCAAATATATGATTCCAGTCAAAACTCAAAAGTTTAAATTTAAATAAATTGCGTGTATATATATATATATATATATATATATATATATATATATATATATATATATATATATATATATATATATATATATATATATATATATATATATATATATATATATATATATATATATATATATATATATATATATATATATATATATATATATATATATATATATATATATATATATATATATATATATATATATATATATTGATCTTACTGGGATAAGAAGGGTCTTCAGTGGTCTGTAATATTTAGACTTATGTGGTTGTTGAAGTGAATAGAGGTGTATCTGTAAGATACTCCGATGTCAAAATAAAGTTTAGAGCAAAAAAGGCAAGTACACAGTAGTAAATTGAATATATGATTCTCTAGTGAAAGAATGTATTTATAACTCTCAGCGTTGGGCTAAGGTCCTTATTTTGGTCTGGATGCCAAGGCCTATAATGGAGACTGCCAAGATCCTACGTGGATATAGGAGACCAGTTCATGGTCTCTATCCTGGTTCAACTGCCCCATGATTCTCGGGGGGGTGAAGACCCGTTCTTTTCGGGGGCAGGATGACTCCGTGATATTCTGAGGAACGTTGACCACATATCCTTGGTGGACACGTGGAGGATACGTCCTCGACGAGTATGTGGAGGAGACGTCTTCGACGGGAAAGTGTGGGAGACGTTCCCCCACAGTCGTAGCAATTTGGGCCACTGTAGTGGGACTTCCTTGCTATAGAGTTGGGTTGGACCTTGCCCGACAGTAGACTAAGCTCAGGCGCAGTCCAGAACAGGATCACCCAAGTCATTGCTCCCAAGTAAAGAAGTTATGACTTTTAGGTCAGCTCGTGTGTTGAGGAGGTAGTAACACCAATGATCTCTATGGCGAGCCTCCTGTCTTTGACATTTAACTCGAGCCTGATCGATAAGGACGCGGGCATCAGCTTTTAGCCCAATGTATGCAAGAAAAGGGGGAATGTGATTATTTAGATTAATAATCTTCCTCGTTAATATGTACCATTTGAGGAGTTTTGCATGGATAAGGAGGATGTTGTATAAGTATCATGGTCGGGAGTTGAGGTGTGCCCGCGGAGAGCGCTCCCATGTTCCCCGCAGTTGTATTGCAGGGGTATGTCCGTGAAGGAGAAAGTTTTCCTCACTCGTCTTTCGGGGAGTCGAAAGGTTCGGTTGGCACTTGCTTTCTGGGCCACGTGTCGCATCATTTAATGTGAAATGATGGCCTGGGTGTAGGGGTTATTATGGATTAGGTATACGGGTGGCTGCGTGTCGGGGCGCTGGCACACCACTCGAAGTGACATTTCGTCTCCCGTGCAAGGTTTATAAATAGCGCTTAGGATTTCATTTGTAAAGTTTCACATTTGCTCTTCCTTCTCGCCTCCCTTCTTTTGATTGGCTCTCAGTCGCAGCTGCCGTTGTGTCCGCCATTGTAACCTCCGTACAACCTTTAATCAAGTAAGCATTTTTTTTCTTTCTCCCTGCGATTAACCAAGTTTTAGATGAATTTCGTGTTCTGGGGAGGTTTTTCCCCGTGACATTCATAGATTCGTGATGATCTTCATATTCTGGGAAGGTTCTTCCCCGTGAAATTCATAGATATGTGATGATCTTCATGCTCTAGAAATTTTCTTCCCCGAGAAATTCATAGATTCATGACTTTCTCCGGGAGATTCATGCGTTTCTCTGCGATATTCATGAGTTCTCCGTGAGATCCATGAGTTTCCACACAAGATTTATGAGTTCCTCTGAGATCCATGAAGACCTTTATTAGACGGGGAAGGCTAGTCCATGTGCAAAGTCTGTGTCCTTGTTTATCTAGTTGATTTGGTCGTGTCCTTAGCCCATGAGGGTTAGATTTAATTAACTTTGAACCTTTGAGTAGGGGTTTTGGTCGGGGACTGGGTCATCGTCCTGCGATATGCCCTTTCACTTGATTCGTGGTGAAAGGGTGGATTTGATTTGAACATTGAATTCACTGTTTTCCTTTTCTTTTCAGATGTGATGGCCCAAATTGTCGGGGATGTTCAGATGACCGACTCAGTTACCGACCCTTAACTGCATTGGGTCACCCCCGAACCTTGAAGCATAGCTTCGCGTTATGCTGAGTCTTTAGACGACACGTTCATGTATGTCTAGGACGGGGCTGACAATTCAGATGCCGAGAAAAATTGGAAATTTGTCAAGCCGGCCGGGAGCAGGAAGATATGCTCGTTTTATTTGAGGAATCTCATTCCTATGTACGAATTTGTCTTCAAAAAGTTGTGGCTTTGGCTTCCCTTTAGTGATTTCCAAGTTGGGGTTTTCGGGCATCTATCGTTGACGCCCTCTCTGATGCATCCAAACGCGATTTCTTTTATGTTGATGTTCAATATCGTATGTCGATACCTTCATCTCCGTGCTATGATCCCTCTCTTCTTCCGCTATTTTCGACTTCAGCGACAAACTATGGACGGGAAACATGGTTGGGTTTCTATAAAGCAGTCGAAGAAGAAGCTCTTCAAGATGTTAGTGGAACTCGTTCGCGACTTTAAGGATAAGTATTTCCTTGTTAAGCCGGTGTCGGAGGAGGCCTTCGACTCAGTGTTAGAGGAAAATATCGTGGTCGACGAGGATGGAAACACGCTCTATGATGAAAACGGGGACATGGAGACAAAGTTAGTCTCGAAGTTCCCCTTCCACTGGTGTGAGAGTTACTTTGATCATGGCCCGAGTTATTACCTCACCCCATATAGTAATA